CTAAATAATGGAAACAATCATGTTATATCTAGATCTTCAAAAATTCTGATGTAAATGTTCCTGAGTACCTTTTTAATACACTCGAATCTTAAATGATTCTTGAAACATCAATTTCTGAGTGTTGATTAGACCTGCTAATGAAAGAACCTTTTCTATAGGGACCTCGAATATGAATTTTGACTAATCTATATAAGTTATACGTTTTGCCTTCATGGTAACGATAAATTGCCTCCGAAAAATATTCGAATGACTTATGAATCTGTTAGCTATCAAACCCCCTTTTTATGGGGTCTCATTTATAAAATTTAATCAGTATGCAGAAATTTCATATTTCCTCACTGGATAATTGCTAAGTACATCCAGAAAATAATTAAATCCTCTAGTGTGTTCCCTATGTATTACATGATTGTTTTATCGGTTTTGAAAATACGTTTCACTGAAGTTTATGATTTACTGATTTACTGGCTTATGAACTATGGTTACCTGAAATGTGCTATCTAGTTTCCTATTTTCACTGGAAAATATAATTTTTCTTGATTTATAGATCATGAAATCTATTGGTTACTACTTGAAATATTTTATTGGGATATTATATGGGTATGATACTAGAGTATGGAGGTTCAGCTCCGTCAAACTGGTAATTCCTTATATAGCTTCAAACCGATCGAGATGATAATTCCTTATGAACCTAAGTTGACCCTTGGGTAGGCTCCGATGCCCCGAGAAACTTTCTTGGGTAGGCTCTCAGGCCCCAAGACACTCACTTGGGTAAATCGTAGGACTGTATATGGTGTATGGGTGGAGGGCATTTATGTGATTTAAATAACTACATGATCATTTTTATTATATACTACTGGATCATTATTTTGATATTAAAGTTACTGCTCAATCTGATTTTTACTGGGTATTGAATGGGTAGGCTGGAGTATGCAGGTTCAGCTTGGTCAAACTAGTAATTCCTTGTATATTTCAAATTGATTAAGTTGGTAATTCCTTACGGACCTAAGATGACCCTTGTGTAGGCCCCGAGAAACTTTCTTGGGTAAGCTCTCAGGCCCTAAGTCACTCCCTTAGGGTAGATCCTTTAATGTGTGCTTAGGGTAAGTCCTTATAGATGCAGTTTTGGGGAAACTGCATAAAGATGTTCGGTTGGAGGGTTTTATTATGGTTTTAAAGACATGTTCTAAACTATTACTGTTTTAAAAAGATCTATATATTTTCAATGGTTTATGTTTGAACATACTAGACATCCTATTTCGATCTCCTGAAAACTTGGTACTCTGAATATTTCCTATGAACTGAAATCTCTATGACTTTTACTCGATTAAATACCAATGAAACCTCAACTCATTAAGAAAACCTATAGACGACTGAGTTAATAAGGAAAATTTATAATGTTCCTTTTTATCTGCATGTCTTTCAACATCACTTGGTAGTTATGTATTACTAAGCTTCCCAAAACTCACTATTTTACTCACCATTTCAGGTTAAAAGAATCAACCCAGTGCATCTATCGACATCAGTAAAGGAGTTTCACATGCGTTACTTGCGGAGTTCGGTGCATGTAGGTTGTATTTTGTTTTAATATTAGAGTCTGAAACTTGTATGATTTTAATCCTATTTATAATATATGATTGATTTTCTAAACTTGTATTATTTATAAATTGTTTTATGATTTTACTCGTTTTAACAAAAAATTTAAATTTTCCAAGATTTTTAATGTGGGTGGCTCTGGTGGCCCTAATGTGACATCTCAGATCGGATCGGGTCACCCCCATCGGTCTGAGTGGGTTACAAATACATTAGGATTTTTTTTCATTCAACTGTTTCTTCACTAACGACGCTATGATGTGGCTTATTTTATTTTATTTTATTTTTAATTCGTAAACTATAAATTTAATCACTAAAATTTATCTATCTCATTTTTCACTCACTATATTTTTAATTATTTTCAATTTAATCTATTAAAAACAAAAATGCCATGTCATAACGCCTTTAGAGATAAAACGACTGAGTGGCAAAAAAAACTCAATGTATTAAGTTTCACGAGAAAATTAGAAAGATTTAAATTATAATTAGTGAAATATGAGGGGAATAAAATTTAGTTATCAAAATTGTAATTAAACCTTAAATTTTGGAATTGAATTAATTGATTTTTTAAATCCATGCACGTGATTTATAATGGTTACTGGACCCGTGAAAGTTGGCATGGCAACCGAAAGGTGAAGGTGGGCGCCAAGAGTGATACGTGGGGGGTTGGTCAGATGACGTGGCAGGGTTAGGGCTCAACTAGCCTCGCTCGTGACTCGGCGGCGAGTCAACTTGCTGCCCATCCCATCCCATTCCCAAACATGCATATACACATATCATGTATCAATAAATATTAATTGTAGTAAAGATTCCATGCGACGTACGAAAATAATAACAATTAAAGATATTAGAGATGAGAAATTCGAACAACTGCTTTCAATCAGTTTCATCAGATGGTGATATCATCAAATCGAAGAGACACGGAACACATTGGTGGCCCTACTCGCGGCGAATTCAAATGTCCATATCACGCGCTCCCCAAATCTAATTTATTAGAATAATAAATTTTATACGCTTCAAATGGTTTATTATTAATTTCAGAAGTTCCAAGTTGAAACACCAACAAAAATATAAATATTTATTATTAATTAATTAATAATCTTTAAACATATATTATATTATAAAAAATCATAATTTTTCTGACCCATATAATTTATACGTTAAATCCCTCGAACCATACGACGCACGTAAGTCTACGCGATCCCTATGTGTACGCGTATCCTATGTCTCTCTCATTCTTATTTTAACGAATAATTATTTGTATCTTCACTTAGGATCCGTTTGTTTTACATAAAACGTGTTTCGGAAAATATTTTTCTCATTTTCCAATGTTTGGTTAGAGGAAAAATGGTTGGTCAACGTAAAACATTTTTCTAATCAATATAATTTCCTTTGTGTTTTTTGAAAAATGACTTAGGATATGATTTTCCGTAAGTCATTTTCTAAACTTTTCACTTCAAAATAATAATAAATACTCAAGATTATTTTATTTTATAAATTTGATATTAATAAAATATTTTAATATCATTTTAATCAAAATATTAATTATTAAAATATTTAGATATATTTAATAATATAATATTTTTAATATTATAATAAAATAATTAATTATATTATAATATATAAGATATTATATTGTTATTTTAATAATATATAATAATTATTAATAAATTTATATTATTTATTAATTTCATATAAATAATATTTAAATTATTAATAATGAATAATATTTATATATATTTAATATAATAGTCTAATAATATTTTAATAAAGATATTTAAAATGTACTAAATAATATTTTTAAAATATAATATAACACTATTATTTTAATAAATAATTAATATAATTAAAATATTTTATTTCAAAAAATATACCAATATTAATATTTTTATTAATAAAATTATAAAAATAATATTTTAATAATAAATAATTATTTTAATATTTTAAAAATAATAATTAAATTTATAATAAATAATATTATTTATTGTATTTTAATATTTGTAATTTTTTTTAATAAAAAAATTCATCAACTAATGGGGAAAGGGTTTAAACAACATATTCCAGATATCGTAAAATGTTTTCTAAAAAACATTTTCAGTGAAACAAACGTACCCTTAATTTTTTATGTTGCAATAATAATGATTTTTAATGAAGAAAAAGCAGGACGTGCACGCAGAGGCAGTGGTGGTTTGGCAAAGTTGGACAATTTCTGAATCTCCCCACCAAAAATAAATAAATCCAAATGCCAAAATCATATAAATGGACAAACAAAAAATCAACTTATTTGGGGTGAAAAAGACATCAAAATTTATAATTAATAACAATAAAAAAAAGTAAGGAAAGCCATTAATTTTTTAACAATAAAAAATATAATTTACCTTTAAAAAATGTTAAAAAAATATTGTGGAAAATAATGTAATTACTATTATTGTATAACGCTATTTAGTTAAACAAAATTAAAATGAATATTATTCCCATAATAACCCATGGATTTTGATATAAAAGCTGAAAGAAAATGGTGATATAATTTTTTTTAAAGGTTTAATCGTTGATAATAAACACATTTTGCTGACTTAAATTATTTAAATTTAGAATTTTTACGGATAAAAATACTTTTTTTATCATTGAGGCTACTCAACGAATTATTTGAAAATCAAAGTTAAAAATAAACAAAAGATGTGATAAAAAAAATATGAGATTGTAACATTTTTTTTAATTTTTTTTGAGTGAGTTATGATTATTCTGACTATTGGTGTTTATAATATGAAAACATTTTATTGGAAAATTTTATTTTATATATTTAAATAATTTAATTCGAGAGAAAAGAAAAATTGTCAATTTTAAAATGACAGTCAATTGAAGAAGATCATCGATAGTTCATGACGACGTTGATGGTGTAATGATCTTCGAATTGAATTTAAATTGAATTCAAAATATTCCAAAGATTATATCGGTAATAAAAATCAAATATTGAGAGATAATTTTGAAAAGAATTAAAAATGGTGAAATTGAAACATGCATTATATCAATTTTATTAACTTTCATACTATTTATGATTAATTTTTTAATAACTATATATTAATTAATAATTTTCCTAAATAAGTAAGTAATTTATAATAAAGATAAATCCTATAATTGATAGACTATTTCACCCACTAAACTACTAAAGGGGCAGATATAATTACTTAAAAAAAACTTTTACCTCATAAATGAATTGGCATATTATGAGTAGGTGAGTGTGTAATTACTGTAAAAAAAACCTTAATTTTGAATTAGTTAATGGCATAATTAAAGTAAAGGTGTCATGGCCGAGATTTTCCCTTTTAGTTTTTATTTTCCCGTTGCTTCCATCATTCTGTTTTGCTCTTTCTTTATTCTCTTTCTCACCGTCTGTTGGAACCAAACAGCAGTTTCTGAGAGGTCCAATCGACACTCATTTTTTTTTCTCTCATTTTCTTTTTATTTTATTCATTTTTCTCTCACTCAAAGCTTACTAATATGAGCAGATTGCTATTCTCATACTACTACCTGTTATGAATCTCAACGTGGAGCCACCACAACCGCCTCAGCCCCACCGTCCCTCCACCTCCTGCGACCGCCACCCTCAAGAGCAGTTCACCGGCTTTTGCCCTTCATGCCTCTGCGAACGCCTCGCTGTTCTCGACCCTTCTTCTTCTGCTTCTGCTGCCGGGCCTTCTTCTCGGAAACCTCCCATTGCCGCCACTACTTCCACCGCCACCGCTGCACTTAAAGCCATCTTCAAGCCTTCCGGAGGAAGCGGTACGCGACCCGGGTTTTTCCCCGAGCTCCGACGGACGAAGTCGTTCTCGGCCTCGAAAAACGAGGGGTTCTCCGGCGTTTTTGAGCCTCAGAGGAAATCTTGCGACGTTAGGGTTCGGAACACGCTTTGGTCACACTTTCATCAAGAAGCAACTGCGAACGGAAAACTTCCCGGAGAAGCGGAGCCTCGGAATTCGGCTTCTTCTTCGAGTGTAGTTCAAGGCCCTGTTTTTGAAAGCAAAGAAGAAGAACAGAGTGAGAGTGAAACCGACATTGAGATCATAGAAATAGAACCACCACCCAATTTGTCTGCTCCTACGGCGGATTTAATAGAAGAGAAAGTTGAAGAAATTGTGGAAGAATACGAAGAGGAACCGTGTCAAGAAGAGGAGCTTAAGCCCATGAAAGACCATATAGATCTTGATTCGCAAACGAAGAAGGCTTCCGGCCGAGATTTCAAAGAGATTGCCGGGAGTTTCTGGTCGGCTGCTTCAGTTTTCAGCAAGAAATTACAGAAATGGAGGCAGAAGCAGAAGCTTAAAAAGAGGAGAAATGGATGTGGGTCGGCGAGATTGCCGGTGGAGAAGCCATTAGGGAGACAATACAGAGAAACCCAGTCGGAAATCGCCGATTACGGGTTCGGGAGACGGTCATGTGACACGGATCCAAGGTTTTCCCTTGATGCAGCCAGGATGTCCTTTGATGCAGCAAGGATGTCATTTGATGATCCGAGGTATTCCTTCGATGAACCAAGAGCTTCATGGGATGGATATATGATAGGTAGAATGTTTCCAAGGATGCCCACAATGGTTTCCGTTGTGGAAGATGCTCCTGTTCGTCATGTTATCCGGTCCGATACTCAGATCCCCGTGGAGGATCCGACGGCTATGAATTCCATCATTGAGGACGAATCTCTCCCCGGAGGTTCAGCGCAGACGAGGGATTATTACTCCGATTCTCGGAGACGAAAAAGTCTTGATAGGTCCAGTTCTTGTAGGAGGGCTGCTGCTGCTGTAGTAGCAGAGATGGATGAAATGAAACCAGTTTCAAACACAAAGGTTTCTCCTTCAACTGTTGATTACTTCCATGGACCTAAACTTGTCGTGCCGGATAGGGATTCAAACTCGAATTTGTTGAGAGATGATTATTCAGACACTTTCGAGATCGGTTTAAGAGATACTGCATCTGTGATTGGTAATGTAGAACAAAAAGAGTCTTCAAAGAAGTCGCGCCGGTGGGGTAAAGCTTGGAACATTTGGGGTTTAATTAACCGGAGGAGTGTTAACAAAGATGAAGATGAAGATAGGTATGGTAGAGGTAATGGTGTGGAGCGGTCGTATTCGGAATCTTGGCCCGAGTTCAGAGGTGAAAGGAATGGAGATGTGAGAGGAGGGTTTAATCCAAAGGTATTGAGGAGCAATAGCAGCGTAAGCTGGAGGAGTTCGAACGGTTTCGGCGGAGGATCCTTCACTGCTGCAAGGAAGAGCTGCGATGTCGAGTTAAACGGGCATAGCAAGAAGAAAAAAGATGAGTTTGTGATGGAAAGGAACATGAGTGCAAGATATTCAACAAGTAACATTGATAATGGACTGTTAAGGCTCTACATGGCACCAAACGGCAGCAGCCGGAGAGGCGAGTCGGGCAAAACCAGGGCAAGCCATGCACAGTCTATCGCCAGGACCTTACTGAGGTTGTACTAAATTCAAGATTCATATGTTGTTTTTCCTTTTGGTTTAAGGTTTTGTTGCATTTTGTTATGTAACCACACATGCCTTTGTATTTTGCTGGTTGGTTAGATGAAACAAAAGCATTCTGCAAATTGTTGCATTCCAATAACAACATTTTCTTCTATTCTTCTTGTTTCTAATCACGTTGTCTTAAAAATGCAAATGTTTCAAGTAAGAGTATGTTATGGCATTTGGCATACTGACTATGAAAAGAGCGTTTGTTCGATCGAGTGGTAAGAAGTTCGATATTATTGAACTAACACAAAAAAAAAAAGGGGTTTTCTCATACTCTACTTGGTAAAGTATGATGGTTAGGCAGATACCAACATGTGAACAAAAATTTTGTGCATGAATTATGCGGTAAATGTGGAAACAAAAGCCATAAAGGAATTCAGAGTAATGATTATTCGGACCATTAACAAGGGTTAATCTTTAATTGAAGGTTAAACCAAAAACATGTTTTTGCCCTCAAAGTCAAAAGGTAACTATGAAAACAATCCCACCATGTTCCTCAACAGACAGAGCAATAAAGAAGCTCAAAATCCAATGCTTATTTTGAGTATGGGAATTTGACTCGAGTTCGATAGGTTTCGATTAAATCAATCGGGTTAATTATATATAAAAAATAAAATAAAATCAAAATTTTTAAAAATAGAGTCGGATTAGGTTAGGTCTGCGAAGCGAATCAAAAGTTCGATACGACTAGATTTATGATCATCTGTATCCATAACTAAACCCACCAAAAGCCCATCTAAACATGGCTAGCTCTAGTTGAGATGATTTTTAATATTTTTTTCTTGGTTGAATTTCTTGGTCCCTCCAGTATGCTTGAATTAGGGATTTAGTATTTTTATATTAATTCAACATAATTTGGTCCTACTTTTATAACGAATCCAAATAATCAATACTGTTGACTATTTAAATTAATTTTCTAAAAAAACCATAATTTCCAATTTATCATGTTATTGTAGACTTTTTTAAGTCAAGGATTTGTCTGTTTCAAGTAAAACATTTTTTGGAAAACGTTTTCCTCATTTTATAGTGTTTGGTTGTAGAAAATAAGTTGGTCAATGTAAAACATTTTCCTAGTCAGCATAGTTTCTTTTGTATTTTCTGGAAAATGACTTACATTCTGATTTTTCGTAAGTCAGTTTCTAAGCTTTTTACTCTAAAGCATAAATAATCAAATAATATTATTTTATATATTTAATATTAGTACAATATTTTAGTATCATTTTAATAAAAATATTAATAATTAAAATATATTTATTAATATTTTTAATAATATAATATTATATTTTTAATATCATAACAATATGATATGATATTATAATAATAATATATATGATATTATAATCTTGTTTTAATAATATATAATAAAATATTAATAAAATTTATATTATTTATTAATATTGACATAAATAATATTAAATAAATTATTATTATATTTAAAAATAATAATATTAAGTTATAATAAGAAATAATATTATTTATTGTATTTAATATTTCTAGAAAATTTATCACCAAGTGAAAAATGATCTACACAATATCTTTCAAATACCGTAAAACGTTCTCTAGAAAATATTTTTCAGAAGATGTAATTCATTTTACGAAGAATATTTTCCAGAAAATATTCTTAGTCAAACAAATACAAATAAACCCTAGATTTTGGATTTAATCTATGTATTATTCCCAAATTAGGAATTTAATATTTTAATTTATCATAAGTTGATATTTAGTTTTGTAATACTATTAGCCCAAATATTTAGCCTTATTAGCTATTCTAGTGAAAATGTTGACATGATTTTTATTCTTAAAACATCATTTCCAAGTTATCATGTGAACATAGTTTTTCTTTAATGTTAGGAAAAGGTGTTTTTACCACACACAAAAATCATGCCAGCACTTTAACCAAAATCTATTTTATTCAATATCTTTTATGTGCCACTAATCATATTTATTAAAAAAAAACCCAATTTATGTGTCGAGTAAAGTGTGGGGATTAAATCTCAAATTCAAAGATACTGAAAGGACTAAAACTAATATTTAACCATTTGTTTTTTCTTATAAATTATAAGAATATTATTTCAATTTGTATTATAAAAAAGTCTCACGTGCAACAACCTTAATATCGTTATATTATCATAAACCTAATTGTAATTACAATCTGACCAAACACCTCGAACTTGTCTGAATGACAAAGTGCATCTTTATTTACCCAACAGTTCAGTTCCACCTTCACTTCAATTTGAAAATGACAAATTGTTTCATTGCTTTATTATTCATTAGTCAACCACGCAACGCAGTTAATGTTCAGTTTCTTGCATCCTACGCAAACGAACTCAAGTATCTGTTCTGCATGTTCATGGAGTGCACTAGTCTTTGGTTCCATCTTTCCCGTTAATATTATGACGTAGTTTCGGGGTGATGATACAACTTAATTCGGATATTATACATCTAATTATATTATAATTTGTATTTCTTATAATCGTAATAATAATAATAATTATTATTATTATATTTCTTTTGAATTTCTTTTATGAGATTGATCTCCGCACATTAATGATCTTCGGAGAACTCTTTTGTAGTTAGAATTCAGGGAGAACATCTTTGGAGTTTTACATATCTCGAAAAGTCAGTAGCTTTTGACATGATCTTTGACAGACCTATGTAATATGTTATAGTCAAAATTTACTATCAGTTGATCGTATCAATTTGCTTGCCACCATATGAATATATATCATAAAGTTCTTATAAAACCTCTCATCTAAGACTAAGGGAAGGATCTAGAACTATTTTATCGATTTCTTCTTCTATCCTTTTTTATGGAAATAGGAAATTTGAATTTCGATCAACCGTCACTTAATCATCGGTTACGATTTTTAGTCAAAATAAAAATCGATAAATCACTTACCATCAAGACAACGATGCTAATTGAGCTAACTTTATTCATCATTTTGATGTGGTTCTAACCTCTGATAAATGGCATGGGATCCGAATCCGGTCCTCCTCAAATCAGATTTTATTAATAAAAAAAATAGATATGGGTTGGATTTTTTAAAGGTGGTGTTCGGGTCGGGTTGGATTTAGGTTTAGGATGCAAATACATGACCCGACCCGACCCGGAAAAAATAATTTTACCTTATATATTTAAGAATAATTACAATAATACATAGTTATATATTTTTCCCAATTAAATTATTGTTTTTATTGAATAAAAATAATATTTTTTTATTATTTAGGGTCGGGTCGAGTTCGAATTTTATTTCAAAAACCCGGGTCGGGTCGGGTGGAGGGTATATATTATGCAGGTCGGATCGAATTTCGGGTGGAGGAGTCACTATTCTCGGGTCGAGTCGGGTGAACAAAAAATCCAACCCAACCCGACCTATACCCATCCCTAATTAGGGCATCTAACAAGTCACCAGCCATTGTAAATTTGCTTGGGAAAAACAAGCATCGGATAAGGGAAGGTCAAAGGATGATGATGGTTAATGGGCTTGGTTCAATCTTGGCTTTCAAACAAGCCATTAAAATCCCAGTGTTTGGTCACCATGAAAGGCATTGCTCAACCTTTTTAAGGATCTTGTTTCACACCATCGGATTCTGTGTACCATTTTGCTGTGTGTTGGAAGATGAATTTAATTGGATGGCTGAGATGCCACAATCACATTCCTAAAAGTCGATCACAGTGCTTACCGGCACGTTTCATTGATAATTACATGAATTGGTCGTCAACTTCTTGGAGGTTAATCTTGTTTAGAAACTTCTAAAATTGTCTATTTGCGTATCATATATATTTCCACGTTAACTGAATTCAATACTATAACAAATGGAATTGTTAAAAGGACTTCTTAGGTTATTTTTAATTTTAAAAATTAGATAATTTTCTTCTACTACATAAAGAAAATATATTTAGTTCGTGTTAATTTTGAAAGTGAGTAATTAAAGATAATTAATCATGATGTTAATATTTTTTTTATTTCATCTTTTCTGATGATCGATGGATGTATTTGACGATTTTAACGGTGAATGGACTTCTTTTGAATAGAGAAACAATATGACTATATTTTGATTATATCTGAAGACAGAGGGAGGAGATAAAAAAAATAAAGGAAACGAACGATTTTGGTCTATTTTTGTGGAGATCAAAGCATTTTTTAGTGAAACATACTCCAAATTCAAAATTAAGAAGGTTGAAAAAGATTGTTGATAAATTTTAAGGTTCAATAGCAATCGACGATAGTGACTAGTGTAACATCTAGTGATGATTTTAGGGTTTTTAGAATTTGAGAGCAAAGAGAGATGAGAGGATTTGTGGGAGGAAAGAGAAATTGTAAGGAATTAAAATTAAAAAAAGTATTTTTTTTCAAGAAAATATTTAAGGTGAGGTTATGTCAGATATTTTTTTTAATCTTAAATTCGAGTTTAACCTGAACTTAATTAGCATTCTTTCAAAATCCGTCTAGATCCAAATTCGTTTTCAGAGAAAAACTCGACCCTATAAGATCAAGTTGAATTAAAACCCATAATGTACAAGTCACATACCCATTTCTAATATAATAATAACTTTATTACTTATATATTTTACTAATTTGACCATTATAAAAATAAAGGTAAATTACACATTTAGTATATAAACTATCAATTTTAATCTATTTTAGTACTTAAACTTTCAACTTTTTCAAAATCATACATAACGTTTAGTTTTCATTTCATTTTAGTACTTCGTCATAAAAAACTTAACGCGTTTTGTACATAAACTATCAGTTTTGATTCGTTTTAGTACCTAAAGTTTCAATATTTTCAAAACTTAACGCTAAATTTTGAACGGGGTACAAAAATGAAACAAAAACTAAAGTTTTTAACGACGACTAAAACAAAATAAAAACTAAACTTTAGGTATGCTTTTGAAAAAATAAAAATTCAGAAATTAAAACGGACTAAAACTGATAGTTTAAGTACTAAAAGCGTAAATTACCCCAAAAACAATAAATTGTGTCCATTACATTTATAAAATGTCAAATTAAGTTTGGAAATGTTTAAAATCAATATCAAATTAATACAGTGTACAAATATCTAGAGTTA